TAATCACTGTTCACACTCTAATCAGCATTCATTCCTTAAAAAAGAGGTAGCAGCAATTTCCTGCGTTAACAGTGCTGAGCATTTTGGTGTCAACTCATATTCCAACACTTAACCATGCACCATTCCATGAAATGGAATGAGAGAGTTCCTGTGAGCACACAACACTGGCAAAGGCTGGGCTAAAGCAGGGAGAGGGGAGGAGGAGGAAGGAAATAGCAAAATTGAGTACACAATGTATAGAAAACAACAAACAAATTCACTCGCTACAAAAAGCAAAATGTGAAGACCTTCTGTTGAGCAGGTATAAGAGAGCATTTAGCACCTAGTGCTTTGGAAGAGAGGTTGTGGATGCCCCATCCCTGGAGGTTTTCAAGGCCAGGTTAGATGAGGCCTTACGCAACCTGATCTCGTGGGTTGCATCCCTGCCTATGGCAGAAGGGTTGGAACTAGATGACTTTTGAGGTCCCTTCCAACCCAGGCCAGTCTATGATTCTGTGATTATTACTGGTTTAGATCATTTCCAAAGAAATATATAGATGATGACACTAAAACTGTACGAGTTTGTACCTGGTACAGAATAGGTGTTGTCCCAGTGAATTATCAGTTGCAGACACTGGAAGGATGTGAACAAACCTTAAGGCAACTCTGAAATAACAAAGGTTATGCAGCCTGTGTCCTTTGTAACCTACTGTCGGGAGTTCAGTTACTGCTGCTTAATACTGAATATTCATGAAGTCAGTAAATGAATAATTGGGGTACATTTGCATTTTATTACTGATATGGGATAGCCTGGGTATCTTACAAAGATGCTTATGATTCATTTTGGCATGACAGTAAGAGGGTGCAGAGGGAATCTGTCAGTATGACTTGCTAATGCAAAAATAATTATTCCATTTTCTAACTTAAATACCAAGAAAGACACTGATCTTTAAGAGTGAATCTGCCTAGTAGTGCCTTTCACTATGTATTAGAGATCTGTACAGAGCCAGCGTGCTGCAGCTTTATCTTTCTATTTCTGCAGTAGCTGAAGAAGTGAGGAAGAGGAGGCAGAAATAAACCTCCCCAGAAACACAGAAATGGCTAAGAGCTCCTCAAAGCTGCAGATCAATCCTGATGCACTTGATAAATGAGGAGGATTAGATAAGTGATTTGAGTAGAAAGTAATAACAATGGAAGGAGCTTTCCATTACACTGAGACCCTAACTCTCAAAATATAATGAAGCTTTTATGGGTCAATTTAATTATAGTTGAGCTATACAAATATTTACCATGACTACATAAGAAAAAGTTGCATTCCTCTATCTAAGCACGCTCCATAAATACAGCTGCTATAAAGATATGTAAAGAAGGTAGAATTGAAAATTTCAAAGAAAGCTAAATTTACAACTTGCTTCAATTCATCCCAGTGTGCTTGTGATTTTGAATCATGGTCTTCTCCTACATGGTGCCTTTCCATTGATGTCCTCATCGCCGTATTGTATGCCAGCCTGTACTGCAGGGGTCACGTCGTGCAGTGTGTTGAAAAACCTGGGCTGGGGCTGACCAGGCCTGCTGGTCCTCCGCACAGGGCCACTGTTTGCCCCCATTTGTGTGTGGTGGGATTGTGGAGGGGAAGAAAGATGGCCCGGGAAGATGGTGGCTTTGGCAGTGCGTATGTATGCGAGCAGTTTACCTGAGATCTGCCGGTTGTCGGAAAGAGGTGAACAAAGCAGACACAAGAGTAAAGGCAGGTGCAAGCCTTCAGGCAGCTCGTATACAAGAATTTCCAGGACCATGTACTCTACATTTGGCAGACAGCTCACATTATATGTCTTTGATAAATAGTTCTTATTAAAGAGATAGAAATTTCTCATTCCCCAGAGAAGTTGTTTCATACATTTTTCAATCTTTAAGCAAAATGAAAAAGTTTAATGAAAAAGCCTCTATTCAGCCACCCTCACTGAGCCTCCAGTCAAGATTTTCCTGAAGTAAATAAATTCTTAATTTGCTATAGATAATGTCTATCAGATAGTACCAGAAGCACAATTGAAAATGAAAGAACAGCAGACTTGGAAAAGATGTTATTACTCAGTTTTCCATGAACAGAACCATCAGCGTGTTGACTTAAGGCAAGGCTGTCAAGGCAGAAGGAGCCAACTGAGGTCATGCAGAAAGGTTTTAGGTGGCCTCTTTCTAGAGCAGATCAGCCGTGCAGATGTGTACATGGATGCAGCACGAATCTCCAGTTCACTTGGTCCAAACTGCCTTCAGGTTGGGGTTGGGGTTTGGAGGGAGAGAAAGCACAGAGTCCCTGTTGTGAGTGGGGTTGTGGAAAGGCTCCCAAAGGGAGTTCAGGTCTACCCAAAGGCTTCTGCTGAGCACTTGGGAGAATTTGTTGAAATGTCTGGGGCAGGGCCAGCAGCCTGGGGCAGGCTCTGGGAGGATGTGCAGCTTCCAGTGGCTCGTTCCCTTCCTTTGTGCGGGCTGGCACTGAGAGGAACCGAGAGGTCCCTTTGTCCTGCCACAGCTGTCTGGCAAACCTCTGACAAGTTGCTTGCCTGGGAGAGTACTATCAAAATGACTTCCATCAGCGGGAACTGAACAGAGGTTCTTCTGAACAGACCCTGTGCAAGGCTCAGATGGGTAATTCTGGTCCCAGCATTGCTAAGCACGGTTCTTCCCTTTCTGTGTGGGTCACCAAAGCCAGGGACAGGGAATTCCCTGCCACACCTTCTGCTTTTCTGGGGCCTTTTGTTGCACCCGGGGCAGCTGCTCGACAGCGTGGCACCAGCAGTGGCGAGCAGACCCCTTCAGCCAGCGGGCTCGTCAGCCGCGTACACTGAGGTTGCTGGATACAGCGGTAGACTTAATCAGCCTGTTCCCTGACCCACCTCATCCTTCCAGTTCTTCTCTAGGAAAACCTAAGAGTGGGTCCGCAGAAGAAACAGGTGGAAGTTACAGCAATCGGAACCGCGCTTGGCTGCCCCGTATTGCCACCCACACAGCTCCTGTTCTCACATGTTTAGGGGACATTGGCTCTTCTGACAGGCTTTTCTGAGGATTAGAGAACTCTTCTTTGTTCCCGAAATTAACTCCTTGCTCATAGCACGAAATGGTTTGGCCGACCGCTTCCTGAATGGCAGCTCTGACGAGCGAGGCACCTACAATCTGCGCAACCCGTAGCTCCACCCACATCACTGAGCACTTTTAAATAAATAAACAAATAAGTAAAAAAGGCAAAAAAAAAAAAAAAAAAAAAAAAAAAAACACCACAAACCAGCCGAACCCAGCCGCCGCGGTTGGCAGGCGCTGTGCAGCCGCCCCCTGGCGGCCGGAGGCGGTCCTGCAGCCCCGCACTGCCCCTGCCCGCGGCCAGGCGGCGCCGCCCCGATCCGGAGTGGCTCCGGAGTCGCTGCGGGCGCGGTGCCGCGATGGGGCCGAGGGTCGGGGCGCGGCGAGCGTTCTCGTTGCCTCCGGTGTGTGCAGAGTTCAGGAGGTGCGGGCTGCCGCCCCGCATGCTGTGCAGCACCTCCTGGGCCAGCAGCTTGGGTTCTTGCACTGCCCTGCCAGCAAGGGGGCTGGGAATGCATTGGAAACTGGGAGGGGACAGAGCCGGGACAGCTGGCCCAGGCTGACCGCAGGGATGTTCCTCACCATCCCGTGTGGCATCGTGCTGAACAGCTCATACGGGGTGCCTGGGGGGGGACAGGATGGGCAGGACCGCTGCCTGGGGACGGGCTGGGCATTGGTCAGGGGGTGGTGAGCAATTGCACTGCGCATCGCTTGTTTTGGGACATTCCATCACTGTCAGCAGCAGCGTTATTGTTACTTCCCTGCCTTTTCTGTCCTATTAAGCTGCCTTTATCTTAAGCCATGAGCTTTGACTATTTTTTCTTCCTGAGCCTCCCACAGTGCTGTTTGCTGTAGCCACCCGCCAGGTTAAGCCAGAACAAGAACACAGATGGGAAAGGGCTGGATGCGCACCTCCTCGTTTGGCTTTCAAAAGGACACAGACCAACAAGTTACTCTAGTGAATGGTGTGATTGGGCAAGTTCTCCTGATTAGGGAACTTGTCGGGACAACTGATCTTCTTTTCCTGATGTTATTTTTTCATAATACTCACCGCAAACACTTGCTGAATTTGAAAAAGTTACAGAGAGGTCACCTGTGACGTTTTGGGTTTCGGGTCTGGGGTTTGGGTCCAGGGCTAGGGGTCCAGGGTCAAGGGTCCAGGTCTCGGGCTCCAGGATTGAGGGTCCGGGGTCGAGGGTCTGCAGTCGAGGGTCCAGGGCTGGGTCTGTGTTCAAGGGTCTGGGGTTGAGGGTCTGGGGTTGAGGGCTCGGGGCTGGGGTTTGTGTTTTGAACTTGGGGTCAAGGGTCAGGGGTCGAGGGTCCAGGCTCAAGGGTCCAGGGTTGGGGCAGGGGGTTAGCTCCAGGTCTGGGGTCTGTTCCAGGGTTTGGGGGTCAGGGTTAGCTCTGAGGTTGAGGCTTGGAGTGAGCTCTGGTTTGGGGTTCAGGATCAGCCACGGGGTCGGGGCTCTGGGTCAGCTCTGGGATCTGGGGCTCAGGTCTGGGGCTCGGAGTTAGCTCTGGGGTGGGGGCTCTGGGGTTCTGGGTTCAAGGGCCTGGGGTTGAGGGTCTGGGGTTGGGGCTCCGGGTTCAAGGGTCCAGGTTCGGGGCTCAGGATTGGGGACTTGGGATCAGCTCCAGGTCAGGGGCTAAAGGTCAACTCTGGGGTCAGGGCTTAGGGTCAGCTCCAGGGAGGGGGGCTCCGGGGTTGAGGGTCCAGGATCAAGGGCCTGGAGTTGAGGGTCCGAGGCTCAGGGCTGGGGCTCGGGGTTATCTGCGGGTCCTGGGGGAGCTGTGGGGTCGTGGGCTCTGTAGTTAATAGCACATCACGGGTTAACTGTATCAACCCCACTGCCCTCTGTTTTGATCAAGCTATTGCCAGGCTAATGTGATGTTTCTTGATACAGAGCAAGTTTTCTTTGTCCCTTTGCCAGGCTGGAGAGAGCTGCTCTGCTTTCACTGGTTGTGACCGTGAGTACCCACAGCCCCTTCCCTTACATCTTTTCTCATACTATAATGTCCCCTGGCATGGTGAAACCTACAAACACATGCAGTATCCAAACTGGGAGTGACCATGGACTTGCATGATGGCATGATGGTGCCTCCTAGTTTTGTTTTTTATGGCCTATTTGATTTGTCTTTCTGCGTGTGGCTCAGCAGCAAACAGCAGTTTACTGTAACTAATCTGGGGGTTGAAATGTTCAGCTGCCCTGGGCCTTTAAAGTGAAGCAGGAGATATTTCCCCGGGTTCCTGATTTTGCGCTTACTTTAGTTGGCCATTTTGTTGTTCACTTGTTTGGTACTGCAAGTTCCTCTCTTAATTCTTCCTCATCTGCCCTTGGCTTTGCCATCTTGGGCAACCTGACACTGTCAGAAAACTTGGATCCTCTGTATTCAGAAAAAGGAAAGAAAATGAATCTAGGAACACCTGAAAGCTGAGTCCAGTTCAGATCTAAGGAAAGCATATTTTGGTCACATGAATCTCCTTTTGACCTGTGCTATTTGGACCAAGTTGCTGGGGGAAATAATCAAGCACTTGTTTTCCAGAGACGTTCCGCAAGTCACAGCTGTTGGTTGTTTCTGATGTGCAGAAGTGTTGCAGCCTTACAGAGAACATTTTGTCTGCTCAAACCAGGGACAAAGCACTTGAGATTCAACTGTAAGTGTCATTTGGTTTTCAAATAAGTTCTTACAGAGCTCTGCACACATGTGCTTTTGCCTATTAAGTAAAAAGTATTCAGTTCATTAAAGCAATGTACAACTCCTTTCAGTGCCTGCAGGACTACACAAATTTTTGTGTAACACCCATCTGATATTGCTACAGTGGAAACAGTCACTTTGTCTTATTATTTTTTTTTCCTAGTTAATCTTAACAAGTAGAGCTGACTTGATCCACAGAAACTGTCTCAGTAACGCAGCCCCTTGGAAGTGAGGTGACCAGGAGGCAGGGTTGTGGCACTTGCAGGACTGTTCCCCACCAGGGAGCAAGTCACACAAACAACTGCTCGGCCCATTCTGCATTACCCTGTTCCAAAGGGGATGTCCTCAATGCTCCTATTGATTTCTGCCTCTGACAGAGCTGACTGATGCGTGTGGGATTTTCTGGCTTTGAGAGCCATCTACAGAAAGTCCTTATTGATTGGGTCCTCTTAGGGCAGGTTGGTGGGATGTGCTCATTAACATCAGCCCCCTCTATAATGTAACGAAGCTTGCGTGAGTCAGAGGCCTTACCTGAAAACATTATTGAGAACTTGCTCCCTGAAGAAGTCAGGGAGCACAACTGCTCCCTGAGAAGCAGTCCTGTAGAGCAGAAGTCTTGATAGAAAGAATTAACATTTAAAACAACTGTATCTCTTGTCTGTACACCCTGATACGACTGTTTTAAATGCTAATTCTGATCCTCTTTATTATTTCCTAGGCTTCCTTTAGCATGGAAACCCTGAGAATTTATTTCCATCTCCAGTTTGTGCTTTAACAAATGAAAACTTTTAATAAAAGTTAAATTGAAAGCCTGTAATTGCTGGAAGACTGTCACACTACGTCAGGTCTGTGGTTTTCTTAGCTCTGGAAGTGGGTAACTCCAAGCTTCAAAAGACAGAATAAGAAAGTGTAGAGAAGGTGGAGGTGAGGCACCCTGCCCCGTCTCAGTGCATGTCAGTGGGAGCCTGGGTAAGGGAATCCTCTGATCAACGGGTGTTGTAGCAGACCCTGCTGCAACCCGAGCGATGCTGGACCTGAAAACCTCTGTGACTTTGTCATCCTCCCACAGCACGTCACTAAATCCTCCAGGGGAGAGCTGCAGCATGTCGCTGTGTCACATTGCTGTTTTCCTTTGTCACCCCCCAAAGCTCGTTGTCTCACCTCCCACTTGGAACTACACCTCCCTTAGCGTCTGCCAGAATACAGAGGTGCCAATGGACGAGTACAGAAGTAGCTGTATGCTTCTTAATTACAGACAATTAATTTTTTTGTGTGTGTATTAGCATATGTAAGTGCTTCTCATTGCAAAGCCAAGTTTATAAATCGTATTCAAACTGTGCTGGAGCATGGACCTGGGCACGCAGCTGCCCCAGAGGACTCCACCAAGCAGGGGCCATACCTCCTCTCTGCTGCATCCCAGGCAAGTGGGGCAGAACTGCTGCCTGTCTGTGGGGGATGTAGGGACACATCCTGCAAGCCTCAGAAATACTAAACAGGAGGATTAAAGCTTTTTAAGGATGGAATAGGTTCTGCTTTCATAATATTTTTCTTCTCAGCCTCCGCATGAGTTGGCACAGCTTGGTGTGCTACAAAGCACTCTTTTTTTCCCTTGCTCAGAACATCCTTAATTAATTCTTGGCAGGTCTGTCTAGCTCTGTGCGTAGATAGGAAGAAACTCCAGCAAAGCTGGGGCCTCCTGCAAGGCCACTCGCCTGGGCTGCCCCACTCCAGGCCTCTGCTTGAGTAGGGAGGCTTCCACTGTGTGAAGTTCGTGTGGCAGACAAGTGGACACGGTAGAGCAAAGGCACCAACGTCAGATCCCACAGATGCAGTAGGGGAATGCAGCGGTAGGAGTTACCTGGAATTGTGATGGGTACATGATTTTGCAGATTTAAAGTAAAGGCAACTGAAAGTTTCCAGCTGAACGTAAGCAGTGAGCTCTGCAGTGGCATTTCAGCAGCTCCTTTCCATAGTGGAGCGTTCTAGAAACAGCTGCCAGGTTTGACAGCACAACCTTGAGCTGGCCACATCTTCTAGAAATGCCGAAATCTGCACATGGCCATGGGATGACAGAGCTCTTCCTGCTGCGCTGTAGTCTCTGCCTACACCTGCTGGCATCAGGAGTTCTGTGCTAAAAGAAAACCAAGATGTGCACATTGACGGAATATTCTCCAAACTGCTTCTCCCTTCCAGACTTTGGAAGTGCTTCGATCTGTTCAGCAACCTCAGCGTGATGGAGCCCAAGGCACTTGTTTGGCACCAGGAGAGAAATCTTTACTGGAAATCAACATGATACGAAAATGCATGTCCGTGCGCCTTATTGACCCTGTTCAAAGGTTGCAGTACTCTCCTCATCACCATGGCAGATGTCATCAGGGACCTGCTTTTTTGTTTTATGCAAGCTAATTGATTCCAGTTGGCACCCGATGCACATCTACATTTTAAGGATCCCAAGTAAAAGCACAAAAAGTCAGGCATTTGAAGTTCTTGCCTCTCAGCTGGAGAGGGAACTCAATATCCTCTCAGCAATTTGCTCAAAGAATGTTTCTAAAAATCTACTTTTCTGAAGAGGGGGAAAGAAAGGAAATAAGGTGGGTAGCAAAAGTAACAGTAATCTCTGAATTTGCTTCTGGATTTTCTTCCTCTGTTAGAAGTGTTATTGCTGAAGTTGATTCTGAGGTCTCTTCTGTAGGCAGTGTTGAAATATAATGCAAATGTGAGCAGTTAAAATTCCTCTATGTGAAGATGACAAAATCAGATTGGTGTGCTAACTCAGTGACGTTTCTCTCCTTTGTCCCCCACCCTTCTTTGAACAGTGCTGATATTTTATGGCAATAGCAATCCTTTTGGAATTTTGTGGCTGACTTGGAGCTGCAGACCTTTACTATTGCAAGTAGGAGAAAAGGGAAGAAGAAGAGAGGTAATTTCTAAAGTGAAATTAAATTAACCACAAAATAAAACATTTCTGAAGAAAATTTCATGTCAGTTTAGAGAAGCCTTTTGGATTTATGCCACCTAAAAATAATCATTTAAAACTTCAGTACTGTATTTTTTTAATACTCTGATGCAGTTCTGAAAATGTAAGGAAATATAATTGAATCTTGTCATGCCTAGATTAATAAGTAAATCTATTTTGGAACAGAATCTTCTAATACAAGAAGAAATAATATACTTTGCATAATTCTTAATATTGTCTAATAATCCCCAGTTGTACAGATTAATTTTTCAGAAACAGCAGCTTGCAGGAAAAATGAAATTTATTGGCTTCCTTTTCTTCTGTATGCTGATGAACATGCTAACAGGTAAGATTACTGATATATTTATTCTTCTTTATTTTTCAAGCAGTCTGAAATCTTTTGTTACCGAACAAGTCTCTTCTATTTAGTATCAGCTATTGCTTGTGTATTAATTGTAACTGCTTCCTGCTGTATTTGGGTTGTAGCACTCAGAGACCACACACACGGGCAATTCTTTACTCATCTGTTTGAGAAAGAAAAACATTTGGCTGTACAGAGGGCACTGTGTGTGTCTCTAAGAGCTTGTCGGCTTCTGGCTACACAGCAAACCTTTTTTTTTATTAACTGAAAGCCCTTCAGTGCAAGAACTGATATTGATAACTTTCCTGTTTGTTTACAGATGCCCGGTCAATTCAGGAAGGAGATGGTAATTCTTGTATCTTTTTCTTTCCTATGTATCATTAACAATTCAGAGAGTCAATTGTAACTCCCAGGCCTGATCCCTAGCATCAGTTTTGGCAGGAACACTTAAGTCAACTCAGTGGGTTGGGATTCAGGCTTTCAGAATCGCGTTCGTCTAGTTCTGGTGGAGAAAGAAGGGGGAGTTTTAAGTTTTAATGAAAATTTAAGCTAATGTATTTGCAATCTTAACATGAAAAAAACATCTGTAACAAATATTGCGACTCCTTAAAGGTAAATCCTCCACAGGGTTAAGGTCAATTAATGAATGATCTGTTTTATAAAAACGTAACTGGAAAGCACCAGGCTTATAAATGTATGAGAGACATCTGAGAATTCTGGCAGTCCCAATAAATAATTCTAGATGTCTGTCTACTTATTGGCAAGAAATACTCAGTTCCACAGCAAAAAGATTAAAATTTACAAATTGCCACAAATCCAATTAAAGAAATATTTTAACAACCCCCTTAGCACAGCCACCCTGTGGTGTGTGACACTTTGGGTGATTAGCCCATTGGATTGGTGTTTGCCTTTGATTTAAAAAAACAACCAAAAAAAAACAAAAAACAAAACAAAACAAAACAAAAACAAAACAAACAAAAAAAAACCAACTCAGCATCTTAATGATGTTTACACTGGCTTACTGATATAATAAATTCATTTTGAAAAAGGAGGTAGCACAGAAATATCTGTCATAACAAGGTACTGTTATTGCTGGCATAAATCTAACCCACAGGACAGGCAGCAGCATCCAGAGTGCACAGGCACAGATACGCAAAGGGAATGCTATAACAGATATGGAAAACAGAAACATATATACAGAATAAGAGCTGATGTGATTATTTCTAATTAAAAGTATTTTCCCCATGCTGCATCTTTCCTTATGGCTCTAGCATCTTTTGAATGTATCATCCGTTTTCACAAGTTTAAGGTTTAAGTGCACCTAAGTTTTATTTGTGTATAGCAAATGATTCTTTGGCAACCTCTGAAATGAATGTGTGCCATCTAAAAGCAAAAACTGTTTGTGCAACGTCCTGTTGTTCTCATTATCAAAAATTATGGTTTTCTTTCATTGGCCAAGCAGCAGACGGCAAAGTGAGTCTAAGTTCAGCAGATACCATCAGTGTGTTCTCTGCTACAGGCAGCATTTGGCTGATTTGTTTGGTTTGTTATGAGCCATCTGTGCCTGCACGCACCAAAAAATACGAAATTAAGGTCTGATCGTAGGATTGTTGAAGGTTCTTAATTCCCACTGAAGACCCTGGTATGAAGCTGAGTCTGGTGAATGAAATGGCTCCCTTTTACTTAAAAGGGCTTTAAATGAAGCCAAAATTTGGGGTTTAGCTTTGCTGCACAGAAAGCCACTTCTGTCTGTGTGGTTGCAGCAAGCGTTCACATTGTACACGATTCTGTGTTTGCCTGGGGTTAGGCTGAAGGCTGGTCAGCTCCTGGTATTTACAAAACTTTTGTTTCCATTTTATATTTGGCTTTTATATTTTTATGTGGCAGAGGAAATGTAGTAGAGGAGCAACGGGGAAATATCTTTTTTTTAGGGAGCTAAAATATCTTTCAGGAGCTAGTGGCTCCCTCTTTCACGCTGTGCCCAGCAGCAGGGAACCCCAAACCACACTGGCACAAGCTTTCTACAGAAATGCTTCGTACACTAATTGCCATTTGTCTTTATTATTTGAGATCTTTATCGGGAACCTGTAGCCATGCCCTACTGGCCCTTCTCCTCCAGCGACTTCTGGTCCTACGTGGAGTATTTCCGGGCGCTGGGCGCTTATGACAGGATCGACGAAATGGCCAGAGCCTTGTTCGCCCAGCTGCCCATGGGCAGCCACCTGGGCTACCAGCTGCCTGGCCACGAGCACTGAGGCAGCGCGTCCCTGCGCGTCCCTGCGGTGCCGCGGCCAGAGCCAACGCGTCCTGGCGGGCGGCTGGCGGGAGGCCTGCCCGTTGGGCTCCTTGCAGCAGGTGCGTGCAGTGCTGCCTGCGCTGGGAGGCCAGCGAGGAACAGCAGCCTTTTCTTTCCGCCATTCTTTACTTCTTTACCAAAAGGGTTGTTAGGCACTGGAACAGGCTGCCCAGGGAGGTGGTGGAGTCACCATCCCTGGAGGTCTTTAAAAGACGTTTAGATGTAGAGCTTAGGGATGTGGTTTAGTGGGGACTGTTAGCGTTAGGTCAGAGGTTGGACTCGATGATCTTGAGGTCTCTTCCAACCTAGAAATTCTGTGAAATTTCTGCTTTTGTGCTAAGTCAATAAACTCCTCGCTTGTGTCAGGTTTTGTGTTTTTGTGGGTGTTTTTTTGTTTGTTTTTTTTTTTAACGTGTCACGCTCGAGGCCTTGCCTCAGGAAGGCCGCAGGCCCCGCCACCAGGCCAGGCCGCGTCGCCATGGCAACAGCGGGGCCGCGCGGGGAGCGCGCGTAGGGCGGGCGGGAGGGGCGGCGGGGCCGGAAGCGGAAGCGGGCGCGGCCGGAAGCGGCGGGGCAGGGCCGGGCAGGGCAGGGCGGCGCCATGAAGCCGGCGGTGGACGAGATGTTCCCTGAGGGCGCCGGGCCCTACGTGGACCTCGACGAGGTGAGCGGGGGGCGGCGGGCGGGGGGTGGGGTGCGGGGTTTGGGGCTGTGCTCGCTGCTCACCGGCTGTCGTTGCAGGCAGGGGGAAGCACGGGGCTGCTGATGGACCTGGCGGCCAACGAGAAGGCGGTGCACGCGGACTTCTTCAACGGTGAGCGCCTGCGGGGCGGGGACGGGGACGGGAGGCTCCGGGATGGGGCGCGGGGAGAGGCCGGGGCTGTGTGCGGCAGCTGGGGGAGGTCGCTGCTGGAGCGGGCTTGTCAAGGAGTGGGCTTTGCCGCGGAGCTCCGCCAGCAGGCTGTGCTGTTGTACTGCCTTCACAGCGCTTAGAAACGAGGGCAGTTGTTTATTGCGTGGTGATAGTAGGCTGCTTGCTGAGGGAAGTGTTAGAAGCTGCTTCACTGCAATCAAACTTCATAAGGAAGGGATTTTTAGCAGTACATCACAAATATGAATGTAAACCTGCTAACTGTATAAAAGCGTGTCTGAATGCTGTGGCAGCAGCCAGAATTCTGCACGAATTTCTTCATCTTGATGCATGCTGGAAGCTAATACTTGTTCAGCTTTGTACTCTGTGGGTCACTGTTTATCCATTCTGGATGTGATGGCTACTTAACGCTTTTTTAGAAGTCCCTTCTTTCAATCTTTACTTTGCTTTCATGAGTCTAATTGCAAAGCTTGTATTGTGCAAGTGAAGCGGTTAAATTCATGCATGGCAGTGAGCATGTTCCTCAGGTCTGCCTTTTTTCATTCCTGTCTTCTGTGCTGATGTTAGACATCTAGTAACTGGCAGTGCAGTAACTCTCGTGTGCCTAATTCACCTTTATTATTTCTTTAATTCCAATGACAATGAACTGCTTGTGTGGTGTGTGCACGTCTAACAGTTGAGACTTCAAAGGTTAACTTTACTTTGTCTTGTTTTTCTGACTAGATTTTGAAGATCTCTTTGATGATGATGACATCCAGTGAACTTAGTTGTCCTGCTGTGCAGTGCTGGAATGTGGAGTTATCTCTAGGATCGCCTGTGGTGTCCGTTATTTATTAAAATAATTAAGACGGGAAAATCCTGCGGATGGGTGGAACCTGTGTAAGCTGCCAGATGGTGAAAGATAGCGAAGGAGAGAATTGTGGGCTGTTACTTCTAGGAAGCTGTGCATAGGCTTTTCTTAAAATTGCACTTGCTGATGTCTTCGTTCAATAAAATACTAACAAAAGCTCTGGGATATACTTTGAAAGTAGATGCTGCCGTGTTCTGAGTGTTGGGTTTTTTCCTTCTTTTAAATGCAATTATTTGCTCTTACTTTGGATATTATATAAAGATACATGGCAAGATGTATTGCTGCCTGGAGAAGATCTGTTCATCTTGCAGTTTAGGATTATCTAGGGCTAAGATGACTTTTTTCAGAATAGTCTGACTCACGTTTAGCAGTAGTGCTAGGAAGAGTGGGGGTCTTCTCCAGTTCCAAGACAGATATGTGATTCCTGTCAGTACTTTGTTTTAATCCAAGTAGCGCAGGAACAAAAAGCAGTAATCTGATCATAGCATTTTTTTATGCAGGTTTTTACTTTTATAAAAATAAGTGTATGGTATTGTGCCTTTCAGTGACCACAATGAATCTCAAAATGAGAGGAGCCAGAGTTTTTAATGCATTGTTTCAGAGTCAAGAGTTTAATCCTGTCCTCTGATCTCTTGTTAATCCTTGAAGATCAAAGTGAGATCTCTATTACAACCATAGAATACCCTGAGTTGGAAGGGACCCACAAGGATCATCGAGTCCAACTCCGGGCTCCACACAGGTCTACCCAAAGTTCAGACCAGTGTGACTAAATGCACAGTTCAAAAACTTCTTAAACTCTGACAGGCTTGGTGCAGTGACTGTGTCCCTGGGGAGCCTGTTCCTGTGTGCAACCACCCTCTTGGTGAAGAACCTCTTCCTGATGTCCAGCCTGACTCTCCCCTGCCTCAGCTTGACACCATTCCTCGGGTCCTATCGCTGGTGATTAAGAAGAATAGATCGGCGGTGATCCCATTAATTTATCACAGAAATAATCCTGGGACTGATCTTTCTGAAAGAGACTTAAATTTTCATTGGGAAAGTTGATAGCTATAAATGCTAAACTGTATGGAAAAACCAAAAACGAAACATTCCTTCCATACCTCTTGCATAGGTCTTTGCATATTTTTAAATTTTAAAAGGTTCTACACGAGAACAGTAGAACTAAATGGTTTTTATTGTGTTCTTGTGGATTTCTCAACATCCTCCGTTTTGTCATCCAGAGTACCTTAAAGCAGCGTTCTGACGTGCACTCTGCTCTGTCTGGCATTACGATGTGTCCCTCAAGGAACACAAGCTCCCTTAGGCTCGCTGGAACAGTCTGCTTTTCCATTTTAGCTCTTGCCTTGGTTGAAGAGGGAGGGATTTCCTGTGTCCTTCATTGATAGCCAATGTAAACATTGACTGTTGGGTGTTAGAAACAATCCAAACAAAGTTGCTGTCTTTGGTGCTGTGCTTTCTCAGCTAGGTTTTGGGAAGTGAGCTGTTACCAAGCAGAGGGTGCGTTCTGAGCATGTGCACTTAAAAAAGCTTTCAGAAGTAACTGTTCCTTCTGCTGTTTTGGTTGCTTTTGCTGATGCTAGAATTCTTCAAGGTAGTCATCTTGCTTTTGGAACACTTCATTGTCATTGTTTTATATAGGTTTGTCCTTTTGGTTTTCACTTGCTTTCCCTGACCTTTAAGAAACACAAGTCTTAAGTTTGATCACAGCAGCGAGCATATATGTTCTATGAAATAAATCCTTGAATTAGTTGATCTTCATTATGAACACTTCCTCAGTCCCTTCCACCTTTTTTGAGGGGTCTAGCCACCTGCTCAAGGTAGGTATAGCCAACTCCTCTTTGTGAAGCTTTCCAGAGTCTCAATGTTTCATGCTAAAAAGTATGTAAGCAGTCTGTAGACATGTGGGAAGCATGTCTGTAGGGGAGGAGCTGACTAATCCCAACATTTTCTCACAGTATAAAATTTGTTGTGAAGAAAGCTCCGTGATTTGATGCGCTGTCTTGGTGTGCAGCTGATACCCATGTGTTCATAGCTGCTGTGAGAATTACTCTGATATTACTTCCCAGGCACTGAGCTTGCATTGAGATCTGGCACCTGACTCGGGTTTGTTCTCTCAGGACACAGTGAAACGAACAGGTATGTTCTTCAGAAGGGGGTGCCACTGAGGGCGTGTGGTGTGTTGTCAGTTGTCTGGAGCATGAAGCTGCCTCTACACGCTCCCCATCCAGTCTCATTGTATATATCTTCTTTTTTCTGAAAAGGCTTCAAATAAGAATTTTCATCAGGGACTTTAATTTGTTTGGGTCTCTTTTAGGGACAGTGTTAAAATGGAAAGGCTAATTTGAAGAACAAAACACCCTTGAGCTTCAAATTGCTTCTACATTAGCATTTGTCAAGTCTTCCGGTCTAATTAGTCTGCAGGCAATCAGCCTGTCATCAGGAAATAATTACAAGATGTCAAAATTTCTAATACGAATTGGTGTAAAGGGCATTTTCCTGACACTTCATTTACTGAGGTTTGACTCCCATACCTCTTGTGGATTTTGACACCATTCTTAACAGGCATTTCGAAGTTAAAACACAAGCCTCTCACAGCAGTATTTCACACACGCACTGACTGATGACTTTGTAATCAGCTGGGTACTACTTCGTGTCTTAGTGTCCGAATAAATGCTGTGGGCTGAGGAGCTTTATGGAGGTGCTGAGCCCAGTGCCATGAATTGTCCCGTTGATCTCAGTGAGGCAGGACGCAGCATGGGAGGCTGGCCATCTGCCTCTGCCCTGGCAGCTCGAGGTCCTAAGTGCCGAAACGCTCTGGAATGGGTGCAGCCCAGATGAAAAGCACGGGCTGCAGAACGCTTAAATGTCAGCCCTTTCCCGCTGGGAGTCTCACAGGGCCGATTCTCTGTTAGCAGGAAATTTCCAGCTGCTACAATACATTAGGAATGTGCAAGCTATTTTCAGCTGAAAAAAGTCATTGTGTGGGAGAGAAAGTTCCAGGGCTGAAGGAAGCTGGCTTTAATCTGTGCGTGGTATTTCTGCTGTGCCATTTCTGAGTTGGGCAGCAGGAGAACCCAGAGCTCCGTTGCTCTTCACGCAGGCAGGAATGAAGCTCAGACCTGGCATAGCAGCGGCTGTGCCTTGGTTATTTGGTTTGGTTTGAAGTTAACTCCTAGAGAATGAAAATCGGGTTTTGTTTTACTTCAATAATGGAAGTAGAAGGTATTTTTCTCAATAAAGGAATTGATTTAGATGAATAAATGGAGCTCTTCCCACTTCCCTGGGGAGTTGGGAAGCTGGCAGGCATCTAGCTCTGAATATGCAGTTGTTGAGCACATGGAAACGCGCTCGGCAGATGACAGTGTAGCCCTTTTTCTCAAGCAGCTCAGAACAGAGGGACATAGGAACACCGCCTTTTTAAAGCTTTTAAAATTGGCAGATAGGACCTTTGAATATTTTCTCCCTTCTTTATGGAAAATTCAGTTTGCTTGTAGTGAATTTCCAGTCGGCTACACCTTCAGCTGTGTCCATGCCATGTTGCCTGCAGTTTTGGTGTGTATGTGTGAGCCTTTACGGTCTTGTTAAATGAACTTGTAACCTCCTCACGGGGCTGGGAAGGACCCTCCTTGTAGTCACCTAAAAGGCACTGTTTTGGGTTGTTTTGGGTTGGTTTTGGTCTTGGCTTCCTTGGGGTAGCACTGAAAGTGCTGAGCTGGGTCTGTGTGTGGTTTGGTGCTGGTTGAGGTGGCTTCAGTGTTGCTGGGATACAGGCACTGTGCTGTGGGAATCCCATTTCTGTTCACACTGCCTCCAAGGTGACAGATACACCTTGGCCTTAAAACATTCACTGGAATGTGTTATAGAAATAAAATGGTTTTTCTAAAAATTCCTTCCAGGACAGTGGAGAAAGCTGTGCCTGACCCCGCTGAGAAGAGCACTCTGCTTCAGAGTCAGCCACGGGATCAGAGGGACCTGGCTGTGAAAAAGTGTCTTGCTTCATACCCCCTGCTCCTCCCTGCCCCGATTCTGTAGGGGATGTGGCTTCAGGTGGGATCTTCTCCTCCCCCTCTGCTGTCCTACAGCTTTATGGGAGGGCTTCCACAGGTTTCTTTGTGGGTTGAAATTGGCTGATATGGCCGCAGGAGGAAATAGTTGAAGTTTCACGTTCCTGTTTCAGTCAGAGTCATGGGAGGCTAACACACTGAGTCTGCACAGAGAACACACCGCTGTCCTCGAAGAGCGGTGGAGTTAAGCAGGACGGGTGTCTGGGGATGAGTCTGTGGAGGATGAGCTGTGGATGGGGTTTGCTGATTTACTGCCCTGCCTTTGGCACGCTGAGTCTCTTCGTCTTGTACCTACATCAGCACAAACAAGTCAAAAGCACCCAACAGCCTTGTTCCCGGTTGGGGTGTGCTCAGGATGGGTTTGTCCAAAGCATTGAAATGGGAAAACTAAATCTGGGAGCCGTTCTGCGGGAAGGCACTGCGCAGGTTGGCTGGAGGCAGCATTTATCCGGTGCCACCTTCCCTGCCAAAAAGCCTCTGGCAACTTTATACTAGGCAAGTAAATATGATGCAAGTCCTGCAGGAAAAGCATTTTTCTCTTCCTTGTAGCTCTTCAGGGTTTAGTGGGACTGCTGTTCGTAGCCTGGTTAATTACTGACACAAGTGATTACAGGGGGCTGAGGCACAGTTAGGAGCAGCCGATGTTGCCTCAGCTGCTGCCCCTGATGCTACCTGGCGTGTTTGTGGTGTGGGTGTCTCCTCGGGAGCCTGCACGCAGACACCTGTGTGTCAGACACCACCAGGAGGCCAACGGTGGTGACCCCGGGCCTCTCCTGGGAGGCTGCCCATCAGCCACATCCCGAGTGGGGTGAATGCACGTGAGGGGTGATGTGGGGGGCAGGAAAATGTGGGATTCATTGAGCCCTTCCCAGCAGGGCCAGCGGAGCCCTGGTCTCCAGGTTTCCAACCCTTCCCACAGCTGTGGCAGCTTGGGGCAGGGGTTGCTGCGTTGGCAGGGGTGATGCTGCTGCTGGGGCCTCGCGTGGGCTGGGCGAGGAGCCCCGGGCTCTGCCCTGGCTGCAGGCACGTGGCACCAGGTTTGTGTGGCTGGCAGGGTGAAGAGCTGGGCCCAAGCCTCTCAGTCCTGGGGCATGGGATATCACTAAGATTATTTGTTCCTGCTGTGTGGCAGCAAGGAAAGGAATAATTTATTTTGGGAGCCAGTCTGTAAATCAGTATCTTCTCCTGCTGCCTGTTCCAGATGTCTCATAGCACTTTGGTAGTTTCCATTTTCCCTGCCTTTAGAAAATCCATTTGAAAATGTTTGAGGGGCCACAAAAAAAAGCCACAACACTGCAAAGCTTTGATTTGCTCCTTTTGATTTAAGCTTCTTATACGATTTGATCCAGCAATTGCTTCATTTTTAAATCTCCTTTTGTTTATGGATTAGTTTCGTTCCCTCGCTCCTCCCGTTCCCTTCCCATTAACTCACACAGTAGGAGCAGGCTTTTTTCCCAGCTGTCTGAACTCAACATTATCGACCTGAGCGCCACTTCAGGACTTGCTGGGTCTGGTGTATTTGAAGTTGCCTGGGCTAGAGGAGCCTCTCCAGCTCCTGGCTGCTCAGGAACCATTCGGCTAGTTCCCGGCAGGTGGATCTGTGGACTCTACTCTGGAAAACCGAGCTGATCTTCCCTGAGAAGGAGGGAGCGCAGTGCGAGGTGGTGTGATGCTGAAGCCTTGACAACAGCTAAACAGGAGGTTTTTGAGAAAGCAACAGGTGGGTGACCCTGTGTGTGCTGACAAAGGTGCCCCTGCCTTCCTGGCTCAGAGCGAGCCACACTGGGATCTGCTCAGTGTGTGTAGATAATATTTAAGTATAATCTCCATATACTTTTTTTTTCCTGGACTGCCTGGTAGGGCTGCAAGAATGTCCCGTTTCTTTAAACCCTTCCCAACAATGCATACAAAACCACAAGAGCATCCTTTACTGAGACAGTATTTTATTGTTGTTATTTGTAGTGTGGTGGTTGACTGTAGTGTAGAAAATGCAGCTGCTGGAAATGTTTTCAGATGAAGCTTTTTGTGCTGTCTCGTGCTGGTAGTGACGCGTTAGCTCTGTGCGCTGGCTTGCTCTCAAGCTCAGTGGGAGTCTTCTTTAACGTATCTGAGAAGCTATCAAGTGCTCTTCACTGAAAGGCAGGTTCCTCGGAGAGCAGCTTGGCAGGATTGTCACCAGCCTCAGCCCTAACGCCCTTCCCTCCATCGAGCTGATGTTGCTGAGAGCTGGGCCAGGTCTCGGGGGTGTTCGTGCCAGGAGCCTCCCTCAGTGGGGGAGGCTGCACCGCCTGAGCTCTGCCTGCCTGGTGCCCGAGCCCTTGCCACTGGCACTCTCGTGGGGTGGAGAACCAGCAAAATGGCTGTGCTGGCTCTCAGCCTGCTGCTGAGCTTGGGAACTATTTGGAGGGGAGCCAGGACAGGATCCTGCCAGTCTGCAGGTGGAAACCAGGGCACCTTACATGCTGGCAGCCTCTGGGCTGAATGAGCACTCCTGCCATCGCTTCTAGTGCCAGGTCAGTGAATTTGGGAAGGGCCACCTCCACCTCAGGAGCTGCGAGGACCTTCTGCTCTTCTGTGCCCTCCCCAGGACCCATGAAGCCATGCAGGCAATGGGCTGCTGCTGCTGTGTAGCCTCACAGGTGCCCCGAAGTCTTTTCAGGTAAATCGAAAGAGAAGATCCCTGACCTAAATGAGCACGTCGTCTGAATTAGAGGTAATGATAGGGGGATAAACATAAAAGGAAAATCATAGGATTGAAGTTAATGAAAGTTAATAATCTGAATATATTCAAAGGTCTGGGCTAAAAGAGGGAGACGACAAACCATGGGTGGACATTGAAGGCCCTAATGAGACTGGGAGATGTAATGGCAAAACCGCAGCCATCGGTTCCAGCTGCAGGCAAGCACAACAATGGCTTTCAAATTTTAAAATGCTGGCTAAAATATGTACCTTTGGTTTAAATGAATCCAAGTGGTTAAAAAAGGGAAATGTAGAATGTGATATTTAAAAATAACCATTGTTTTGGTCAGCTTGATATTTAAGAAAGGCCAGCTGATCTTTAGAGTTACTGTTTCACAATGTGGTGGCTGACTTTGGGCCCAGGTCTCTACAAAGAGAGCAAGAGCAGAGGTAGGAGCGAACTCTTGGCCCCACGCAAGTCATTTTGTGTATAACCTCACTGATCTTACAGGAGGTAGGGTCCACCCTTGGCAGTCGTTGCCCCCACAGAAGGGAATTTTCTGGTGAATATAGTATAGCTATAGTGCCAGAGCCCCAGAGCTCTGTCTGGGGTTAAGCTGCTGTGCCTTCTCCCGTGCAGCACACCCTGCTCTAATGGAAATCCATGTCTGGGTACAGGAGGAAGCCCATGAAAGTGGAATCGTTGATGTTGTCAGCGTAGACACCGTTGTTGTCCCCCTCCCCGTAGACCTGGAGCCAGACCTCATCCCCTGAGCTGAGGTGCAGCAAGACAGAGCCGCTCGCCTGGTCGATGTTGTTGGTCTGGAACTGGTCGTAGGTGAAGATGACAGCCTTGTCCTTCTTGTAGAGGCTGACCTTGACGTCTGACATGTACACCGTCAGGTGGTAGGCGAAGTAGTAGGTGCCGGGGATGCTGCAGAGGAACTTGCCGGTGCTGGTGTCGTAGTGGTTCTGCTCGTTGTAGAAGATCTTGCTGAAGCGGATGGGGACGTTGGGGTGGGGGGCTCGCTCCGTCAGCCCCACGCTGAAGGCGGAGCGGTAAACATAGGCCCCTTCGCCCTTGTCTCCCTTCAGCCCTGGCTGTCCTGGAAAGCCTCTTGGCCCCTCTGGCCCTGCGCTTCCCATGGCGCCTTGGTCGCCTTTGGAGCCTTGCAAACCTGGGGGACAGAGTTGGGGTTGGGAGCTGTTGGTACTGAGCTCAACACCCGTGGTGTGAGACACCGTGTCCACCCCAACCCCGAGCAGAGCTCCTCTGGTGCCACCGTACCGCACGCTCACACCAACCTTGCTCTCCTTTCTCTCCCTTTAGTCCATCTTTTCCATCTTTCCCGTCCCTGCCGGGGAGCCCGTTGTGACCAGGGGTAGCCAGGGTGCTCCTCCCATCCAGTTGGCGCACGGTGTTTTGGGGTCAGGCTGGGGATCCTGGGCAGCCACCTCCGTGCAATGGGGGGCCACCAGCAGCAGCGAGCAAAGGAGGAAGCCTGCTGAGTCCCTCATGGTCGGTTCCTGAAGCGGATAAGGGCTTTGTTAACTTCAGAGGTTAAAAGGGAAAAAATGAAAATAAAGTGAACAAAAACCCCACTCTTGAATAACAAAGCATTAGTGGTTAAAACTTTAATCAACATATATGAAGGAAAGTGATTCTGCTTGGCCTGATGGCCTTTCTCCATCCCGTGGGGCGCTGGCATCGAGTCCAGCCCGCTGAGCCAGGGCAGGGCCCCCGGCAGAAGTGAGGACCTCAGCCCTGGAGCAAACCCAGCGCGGAGAGGAGCAGGCTGCGGGGCTGCGCTTCTGCACCAGGGCAGCTGGAGCTTGGGACTGAGCCTGGCAGATGCTGAGATGAGATGTGAATGAGATGTTGATGATGAGATGTTAATCTCATCAGAGCAATTGGTGTGGCTACCCCGAACCAGGTGTGTGGTAACACGCTATGGCCAGCCGGGTACGTTGTCCTGAGGCTCACAGAAATGGGTGGGTCCTTAGCAGGTTTGGATCAGGCTTTTAGGAAACACATTTTGAAATGCCCATTGTATAATGCAGCTCCCCAAGCAGAGATTATACCCTGGAACAAAGGGGTTATCCTGTTACGAGGATTGTAAGTGGCATACAGGACAACGAATGTGGATAACAGGGTGGCCTCTACAGTCCCTTAACTCTGTAATTTCCAAAAATATATATATATTTCACAGCAACTTCCTTGCAGGGTTGATTTTTTTCTTAAGTGAGTTATTTAAATGTATTTCCAATAGTGTCTCATTAGCTCTGGCATAACAGCTTCAATGGAAGCTAAATAGCAATGAGGTTACCATGACTGTGTTTTTTTGTGGGATGTGGAAGGGTTTTAAAGAAACCTTCAGTGCTCTGCACAGTGAGTCCAGCAGGCAGCACCCAACGTGTAGGATTAAGGAACTCTTCAAGCCACTGGGATCCAGCACCCTGTGGTGGGGACGTAGCCCCCCCAGCTGTGTTTTGATGGTTTTGCTGGGGTTAGTTCCGCTTTCTCATACACTGCCTACAAGCGAAGTAGCATTAAAACTTCAGTGTCGTGTGCTCAGTGCTGAGAGCTGGAGCCAGACCTGCTGGTGCCACGGAGCAGCCCTCCTGTAAGTTCAGGGTGGGAAGGGCAGCCCCCCGGCCATCATCCTCCTGCCTTGTTCTGCGGGGCCAGGAGAGGTGTGCATCCCACAGCACCCCGGTTACATTTTGCAGCCTAATCCTTTTTAATGAGAAAAGTGTTGTGATAAGCAAATAGAAAATGATTTCTAGTAGATGTTGCTACATTTTGACTCTGATCACAAGCAATTTGCTTGTTGGAGAAACCGAGCAATTCTCTGGCACTTGCACATCAGTGGTACCTTTTTGGGTGAGGACCTGAGTACTCCTGGTAGCTTTCAGATAATACAGGAGCTCTTGAGGAGATAAAAGCTCCTATGCATTATAGTCTATGCTGATGAATGAATGTGACCCATAAGAACTACGCCATTCAGAATTGCAGTGCCACATAGCTATGCGTGTGTGTATTTGTGTGTGTATATATACATATGCACACAGATTTTGCGCAAAGCAGAGAAAAAAATTCTATGTTTTCCAGCTCCCGTATTTTCTTCAAAGGCTGTTAGCTGGGGGCCTGGGTTACGCTGATCTCTTTTCTTTTTTTTTATGCTAACTCCAGGCAGTGCACTTCTTGCTGCAGCTACAGCAGTGACTTGCTCCTGGGACTCACCCCGTAAATCCGAGTGGCACAAGTTTCCAGTAAGGAGCATGTACAGCTCAGGGAGATTGGAGCCAAAGCAGCCTTCTCGGGGCTCTTTGTGGAAAGAAGGGAATCCAGAGGTACCCTTACAACGCTCCCTGAAAGAGCCATGTGGTTTTTTTACTGTCGTTCCTGACTACTTTTGATTTAGGAGTTTTGATCTCTAAATAGCGTTTCCAAAACCAGGAGTGTGAATCTAAGGGAGATCGGCTATTTTGGGTTTAAAATAATCACTAGCTAGTCCAAGAGTAAGCCTAATAAAGGAAACTTCTGTGAACAGAGAAGCCTGTCTGTGATTTAGCCCAAAAGAAGAGAAAATCCAGAATTTAGGAAGAGGGGGAAAAAAAAAATCAAGCTTACCAGCTCTTTGAGTCCTAGTTGGCTTGCTGCTGTCTCCTTAGAAGTGAAGTCCGGCTAGCATGTCACTGTCCCTAAGGGCACGAGCAGCTGTCAGCGAAGATGCTGTGTTTTCCATTTGCTATTGCGCATGCTGGCTTAAAAGTTGGCTTTTCCCATTATTTTTTTCCTGGTCATTGCCTGGTTTTGGGGCCACTTATATAATCCAGTTGCAAGTGATAGCTTGTGAAGGTATCCGTACCAGGGGAAAGGCTGGTTTGGGAGTTTCAAATGAACCCAAACAGAAACGTTTGGGGGGGAAGTCAGTGCCTGAAAGCTCGCTTGTCAGGGGCTCGGCTCTTGCAAGCCCCCACGAACAGCAGCTGCTCTGGGTCAGCTGGGAGCCCTTGTTAGCAGCTGGTGGAGAAAGTGTGTCTACAGGCTTGTGTTAACACCTTTGAATGTTTTCTTCTTTCTTTTTCTTTTCTTTTTTTTTTTTTTCCCCCAGTGTGTCAGTAAATTGTATGAGAAATGTTTGCTTCTCCTTGGAGCTGCGGCTGCCGCACCAAAGAAGGGAATGGCCCAGGACGGGGCAGTGCTGGGGAGAGCAGAGCAGCGTTTCCAACAGAGCTGGGCTGACAGGCCGGCCTCTGAGCAGCTGGCACACGTCAGAGCCGCTGGAAATCCACAGAGCAAGCTCAGCCCTGGGGATGGTTTTCGGTCCATCACAGGTTTCAGCCTTAGGCCAAACCACAGTTGTCTTTTCCTGCGCTTCTCTCCTTCCGAAGTGGGCGCTGCATCTCAGAGGGGAGGCTTTGAGCCCTGGTCACTGCTGGGCAGCTCGGGGTTAACTGGGTGTAACCTCAGCAAACCCTGCCTGCAAAATTGGGCCAGGGAAAACCAAAGCTAGGTGTTGTCCCAAGCAAGCACGGGGAAGCAGTGTTGGGGAGCTGGAGTCCCTGGGGATGGGGAAAGCTCGTCCAAGGGGGTGTCAGCAGAGAGGTGTCCTGAATTTCTGCTGCTATAAAGAGATGGCTACCTAGGGGGGAATAAGAGGATGTGTAAATGGATTAATTTCTTATATGTAGAGCTGGGAGTCAGCAAGGGTAAGTTCTGAAGTAGTGAGGAGAAGGCCAAAGAAGGGAGCAGCTGTTGGATTGCTGCTTGCTTGCTTCCTTATTTTGGTCGAGTTGTTGGTCCAGCATTTGAAGAATTTGGATTTTTTTTTTCTTGACAATAATTTTTTTTCCAGGCAGGGTTGAGACTTAAGTCAATCATCCCTCATGCAGTCCCAGTAACACAGGACGGAGAACTGCTTGGAGGGCTCAGTGGAGATGAGAGGTGCCAGGAGCCAGGCAGGTTGTTGTCTCTGCCAGCTCTCGGCTTGACCCCCGAAATGCATGGCTGGAGAAGTTCTGTAGGCTGCTGGTATCTGAGGATCAGACGTGACGTGTTTAATAGGTAGTGCTATAATTGTGGTGTGGCATTTTGGTTCAGCTGTATGGAAAATGCCACGGGCATAGATGACTCCTGGTCCATCAGCAGCCTTCCAGACGGTATCTCTGCTTCCCCCAGGAGGGCAGGACGTCTGCCACTGCCCCGTGCTTGTGCCCAGGTGCTCCTAACCGCCCGCTCTGGGCATCGGGGCCAGCTCCCATTCCCACTGCGGGGTGAGCTGCTCCCACCTGTGGGATGTGAAACACCCCAAACGCCTTTGCTCTGCCCGGTGTCATACCAAGCCTGCTGCCCGGTGAGGGGTGCTGGCAGGCAGCAGCTCCCCCGGGTGCTCTGGGTGTTTTCGGCTCCCCATGAGCATTGGCCACCGGCCTCATGCGGAGCCTGACCTTATTTACTCTGCTGGGCCCGATCCCAGCCCGTGAATGTGAGAAACGCAGAACTGACGGATTGCAGACCGCAGCCTGCCCTGAGAATTAAAAATAAGCCCGAAGTTATATTTAGAGTCTATAAAGCATAGCGGGAGGCTGATTATCAGCTGCGCTCCCTCAGGCATGGTCCCTGCTGCTGCGGGGTGAGGGCTGAGGGCCGTGCCCCCCAGGGACACCCGCCCTGCCCCGTCCCCTCGCCTTCCCCTCCGCCCTGGATACTGCACGTAGGAGGAGCAGCACAGTCTCCACTTCACTAAAAACAGTGAGAAGTGTTTATGCCGTTCAGCGGGCAGGCTGCCAGGCTGTGCAATGCTCTTTTCATGCAGCCCCAGGCTGTGCGCTGTGGATGGCCAGCGCCCCACACCACAGGGGTGTGAGGGGAGCCTGGCAGTGCTTGTGCTGGGGGTGCTGGCCTTGGGGAGCCCTCACCCCCTGCCCTGCCCTGCCCTCACCGGGTGACTCCAGGCTTCCAATTTCTCGTCCCGTTTCACTCACGCAGATGGGCTCTGCTCGTCCCTGCAGCTGGCAGCTCAGGCAGGGTGGCTCCTGCCAGGCTGGAGCACGCCGGTGTCCCTCTGCTTGGTGACCGCGGGTGATCTTCCCGGCCCCAGGGAGTGCTGCTTGGCTCCCAGCGAGGGATCTTGGCATGTCAGTGTTTCTCATGCCAAAGGAACAGGACATCCAGACGTGTTTGTTCGGGCCTCGGGGCTGTGTCAGTCCTGCCAGGTCCTGCCCTCTCTCATGCAGGCTGGCAGCTGAGCCAGGCGTTGCTCCTCTTACAGGCCAGTCTGCGCTGGGGCTTGCTCTGAGGTGGGCCGGGATCAGAAGAAAAGCCTTGGTGACCCGGTGTGCAGTGTGCCCCCTGAGCCATCCCCTGTCCAAGCATCCCACCAGGCCGTGTTCCCAGCAGTGATGGTGTGCTCCCAGTGAGGCACCTGGGCACGTCTCTGCCCAGCTCTCCCCCTGCCTTCACCCAGCTGACAGCAGGTAATCCTGCAGCCACCCAAAATCTGTGTGCATCCGTTGAATCACGATTTTATCATCAGGTGAATTGTTTATCCGGAGAGTATTTCTCAATACCTGATCAAAACCTGATCTCCTTCTATGACAAAGTGACGCGCTGGGTGGATGAGGGAAAGGCTGTGGATGTGGTCTACCTTGACTTCAGCAAGGCTTTTGACACCGTTTCCCACAGCATTCTCCTCAAGAAACTGGCTGCTCTTGGCTTGGACTGGCGCACGCTTCGTTGGGTTAGAAACTGGCTGGATAGCCGGGCCCAAAGAGTCGTGGTAAATGGAGTCAAGTCCAGTTGGAGGCCAGTCACTAGTGGCAGTCCCCCAGGGCTCGGTGCTGGGGCCGGTCCTCTTCAACATCTTCATCAATGATCTGGACGAGGGCATTGAGTGCACCCTCAGTAAGTTCGCAGATGACACCAAGTTAGGTGCGTGTGTCGATCTGCTCGAGGGTAGGAAGGCTCTGCAGGAGGATCTGGATAGGCTGCACCGATGGGCTGAGGTCAACTACATGAAGTTCAACAAGGCCAAGTGCCGGGTCCTGCACCTGGGGCGCAATAACCCCAAGCAGAAGCTACAGGCTGGGAGAGGAATGGTTGGAGAGCTGCCAGGCAGAGAAGGACCTGGGAGTGATGGTGGACAGTCGGCTGAATATGAGCCAGCAGTGTGCTCAGGTGGCCAAGAAGGCCAACGGCATCCTGGCTTGTATCAGAAAGCAGTGTGACCAGCAGGGCTAGGGAGGTGATCGTCCCCCTGTACTCGGCTCTGGTGAGGCCACACCTCGAGTACTGTGTTCAGTTTTGCGCCCCTCGCTACAAGAAGGACATCGAGGTGCTTGAGCGGGTCCAGAGAAGGGCGACGAAGCTGGTGAGGGGCCTGGAGAGCAAGTCCTATGAGGAGCGGCTGAAGGAGCTGGGCTTGTTCAGCCTAGAGAAGAGGAGGCTCAGGGACGTGACCTTATCGCTCTCTACAGATACATTAAAGGAGGCTGTAGCGAGGTGGGGGTTGGCCTGTTCTCCCATGTGCCTGGTGACAGGACGAGGGGGAATGGGCTAAGTTGCGCCAGGGGAGTTTTAGGTTAGATGTTAGGAAGAATTTCTTTACTGAAAGGGTTGTGAGGCATTGGAACAGGCTGCCCAGGGAAGTGGTGGAGTCACCATCCCTGGAAGTCTTCAAAAGACGTTTAGATGTAGAGCTTAGGGATATGGTTTAGTGGGGACTGTTAGCGTTAGGTCAGAGGTTGGACTCGATGATCTTGAGGTCTCTTCCAACCTAGAAATTCTGTGGTTCTGTAATAACTTAAACACGGGGAAGAGCAGCTTGCTGTGCAGATATGGAATTCTGCATCACCCAAGTCAGCTGTGAGTTTTGGACAATAGATGGTGCTAAGAGCCCTGGCAGACCAGCTGCTGTCACACCAAGCCTCCTGCAGTGGCTCCTGGCTGCGGGGCTGTGCCTGGGCGCTGTGCAGGGCCGGCAGGGAAGGTGAGCAGGCGCAGGGGCCCCACAGCCCTGAGAGCTTTGGTGGGAAGGCAGCTCTGATAGGGGTGCTGGGTGGCTGCTGGGGTATTGAGATGAGCCTGGTGGCAGCCTAGCTCCATCCCTGTGCACATCCCCTGCGGCATCGTGTCCTCCCATCGCTTTTCTTCCCGTTGTGTAAATGCACGAGGATCACTGTTGGCCACAGCTGTTTTTCCATTCACTCTGGTATCGACCCGGGACCACTCCGGCTCCGGTGACCCCAGCTGCCTCCCTTCTCTTTGTGGCCTGGGCTCCTGTGGGGACTGTTTCTGCGTTGTGCTTCTGGCACAGCTTTTGGCTCATTTTGCAGCAGTTCAGTGACTTTTCCCACTTAAAAGACAACTCCAGGACTCTCTTGGTAATGCTGGATGTAGAGGATAAATCCTTTTGTCCCCTCTGCTCCCCTGTTTCTCTGACACTTCTGCCCCTCACTGTGCTACCCCTTGCTTGCTCACCGACGTGCTGTGACTGCAGGACGGCAGAGCAGGCGGGCTGGATGCTGGCTGGTTGGATTTGGGAACTGCTTTCCCAGGGCAGGAACCTCCTGGGCTGGCACCCAGCTGCCTGGCACATGCCCTGGTCCTTGTGCAGACAGCTCGTCCCCACACGCCTGGCTGTGCTGCGGGCAGCGGGGGCACCACAGCATGGGGAGCTGTGCTAACAGGTTCCTCATGGACTGAACTCGATAAGCTTTGCTTCAAACCAGCAGGGAGGTGCTAGGGGACAGCACTTCGTGTGTTTCTCCCATCGTTCATAAAACCTAATGACCTAGACACGAGGACGGCGTTAGTTAAAGGCAGTGCGAGTCTTATGTTGTCCATAAAATAAAATATTATTGTGGACTATGAATGATGCATATTTCATTGAGAAGCTGTAAATCTGATCAAAACTGACTGCTCTGTGTTTTGACTTCGGGCGTTTCGTGGTGTGAATTAGCACAGAGTGTTCCTGGGGAAGCTGCACAGGCTGCTTCACCTGTGATGCTTTCGATGGGGAATTTCTTTATGCTCGGGAGAAAGCGTTTATGGCTGCTGTAGGGCTAATGCAAGGCTTATGATGTCTTTAATTATTCATTTTTCTAAGTGCTTGTTCTCCTGACTCGAACAGCCAAAACCACGCTATGACTGGCTTCGGCAGTAAATTGTGTTTTTTTCTGGAATCGAATTACTTTGCCTCTGCTGCAGACTTTGCCTCCCTTTGCTTCGGAAGACAACTGAAGTGGCAGTGCGTGCGGCGACTTGCTCTCGGCTCTCACGGTGTGGGACCATCCTCCTGCCTGTGGCAGCACCTGCAGCCTGCGGGCAGCCCTCAGCAGACCACGGGCGCTGTGTTCGGAGCACCGCGGGCTCTGCTCGGGAACAGAGGTTCATTTCCAGAGCGTTTTCCTCCACGGCATGGCAAGGTGCTGGGCCGTGTGGCTGCGAGGAGGTGGGCGCCAGCATTGTGGCCGTGGGGCCAGTGCCCAGCACCGAGCCCCCCGATGTAGTGCTGCCCACCTGGGCCTTAAAAAGCCTGGGGTCTGTGCTCACACGGGGACCCTGCAGGGCTGCAGATGCTTCTGTGGTGAGGCACGCTGCCTTCCTGCGCCTCTGTAGGGTTTTAGCAGGGTTCACATGTTGGCGCCTGGCCCGCTGCCTGCAGCCAGGCGCTCCTCTTCCTCCCGCTCCCTGCTGTGCTGTTTTCTGCAGATGGCAGAAATTCTCAGTGGCATAAATTCGTCTCCTTTTATACTTATAGCCCCTCTGAGGGTGGTGTCTAATAGGGACTGTCCTTTCTCAGTGCTTTGGCAAGGCAAGTACTGGCATCCTGCTTTGTCTCTTCTCAAATGACACAGAGGTACTCTGAATAGCAAGGAGGAAAAAAAAAACAAACAAAAAAAAGATCTGAGTTATTTCTTTTTTTCAGACAGCTTCACACATTTGAAAAATGCTCTAAATGCTTTCTTCTCTGCCGTTCGGTCCTCTTGTTTCCTTGGGGCCTTGCCGCTGGTGTTGGGGCAGAACCCAGCCAGGTCAGGCCGATGCTCCTGGGCTCCTTCGAGGCAGAAGCGCCCTGCCCACGGCCGTGTGCGAGCTGTCAATGCAAATATTGTCATTAGGCTGAAACATAAATAATCACTTACAGCTTTGCCACTTCGGTTTGTGATGAGCCTGCAAATGTCAACAGATGTTTGTCAGAGCTGATCAGGCCACTGCAGTGCTTAGCGGCTTTGTCATGCCTTGTGTCTGGGGGCTTTGTTTGTCCCCCACCTCCCCCTCAGTGTGTAGTGCTTTTTCCAATACCTCTGAAAATAATTGGCTTCTTTTCCTGGTCATTTTTTATGTTCGTTTCCAAAAGGCACGGGAACAGCCCCTTGCCACGCTGACGGCCACGTGTGCGGCGGTCGCTTTACAGGGCAGCTCCCAGCTCCCTGAGCGGGGTGGCTGGGGCCTGGTCTCCTGGTGCCCGTGGCAGCTTGGGCATCTGCAAGGAGATTGCAAAGAGAAGCACTGACCTGGTTGCATCGTGTTTGTTACTCTTCTTGCTCTCCCGTGCTGTTCACCCGATGATTTATTATTTTTTTCCTCACCTCCTTCATATTCATTTGCAGCTGGTCTTGAGCAGAACAGGAACCCAGACACATCTGAGTCGTGTTTTCCACTGATGGTGCCGTGTGCCAGAATAAATGATCTCTTACAGGGCCATGGTAGGGACCTTGTGTAAGGTGAGAATTTAACAACAGGCAGGTTAGGAAACACAGGGGGGGCAGAGGTAGCCAAGGAACATGGGTAGAAGTGGTCTCAGCTACAGCTCATCTGTGTCCGTGCACCCTGAGGTGGCTCTTACAAACCTCTTGAGGTTTGGTTACATCCTCCCATGGCTTACCATCACCCCAGGCTGCCTCTCAGAGCAGCTTTTGGGTTCTCGGTGTCCCCTGGGGCTGCCGTAGGGCTGCAGGCACAGGGAGCGGTACAGCTGCCTGGTGTCTGAGCACCACCTGCCTGAGAGCACACAGGGCTGAACCCGGGCTGGGATGCTTGCTGTGCCCCTGGAGGAAGCCAGCTGGAGCCTCTGTGCTGGAAACCCCCCTGGCATTTGCCCTGTTACCACCAACGTGCCATATGCTGAGTGTGGGGAAGTGTTGCTGGTTTGCATAGTGCTTAGCTCTGAACGCAGGAAGAGGTCACCATCCTTCCCCTTTCCATGGGAAAGGAACCTGGTGTGTCGTCTCCCTGACTTTTCTTTGAGCTGTGTGCGTTGACCCTTCCTTCAGGCTCTGTCTAGGCACTGGGGGGTGTTTCTCGGGGCTCTGTGTGCTGGGCCTGGGCGCACAGCATCTCTCTGTCCTGCAGTGGCACCCTGCAGAGCTCCCTGGCTCCAGGCCCCAGCACAGCTGTTGCAGGAGGTGTCAGGAGGACTCGTCTCCCACCTGCCTGGCCCCCAGCTTGGAGAGCGGTGCCCGGTGCCCCCACTGTCACCTCCTTCCCCTTCCCCCACAGCTAAATGCTTTGTTTATTCTCATACTTCTGCAAACCAGCCTTACTTCTTGCAGATCCCGCAGCCTGCAGGTAGGACTCTGTTTTGGTCTGTGCCTGTTCTCACCGTCTGCGTGCCTCCTCTCACCGTTCCCTGCTCCTTGACTCAGTTTTGGTTTTGTGAGCATTTCCTCAGAGCTCTGATTCCTGCCCTGTTTCAGCACATTCCTGTGGCCTAGGGCTGCTGTGCCACTGCTGTGGTGCCTCCGTGGTCTCCCACCCAGCATCTCACCCACCCATGTGGCTTCTGCCCAAGCCAAGCTCTGTATTTCCATGCTGAGGAAGGAATATTCTGGCAGTTTCTTCCTCCCTTCTACACTCCTGAACCCATAACAGCATAGTGAGGGGTTCCCTGTCCTCGAGGAGAGCTTGGTCACTTAGTGCAGCCTCCTCACAAGTCCCCTGCTCATCTCATTTCTCCTGTAAATAGGGTATTTTTCAAGGTTTAACTCCATCCATGAATACAACAGCTTTAAAATCTGCGGAAGCACACGACAACTGGCTTACTGTTCCCCAGTTAACGTTTGAGCAGTCCCACTGCCTTAGAATCAGAGGTAGTAAATCAGAAATGTTGCTTTTATTCATCCTTCCTTTCAGGTTCCTTCTGCCTCCTTGAGAAGCTGACTTTCTTGCTGGAGTCTTTTCCAGCTGGCTGAGGCATTTTGGAGAGTCTGAGGAAAAACAGGGACTTTGGAGGCAGCCTTCTGCACTGGGAACCTGCCCGTGAGTTGGGAACAGCGTGGGGCAAGCTCGAGGTGTTTCTCTCAGGTTGCTGCCACTGAAATACCATCGGCTGCGGTCGGTTCCTTGCTGCAGGCAGCAGCACAGTGGCAGCCCCAGTGCTCCCCGTTCCCTGGTGGTGGCCGCGGCTGCTGCCCTGGCACCTTGTGCCAGCGGCTTTTGGCTTCACCACCGTGTGCTGTGAGAGCCAGAGAGGCAGTGGTGTGGGGAAAACAGGAAGCGGCGAGGGGCTGATCTTTTTATACTTCAGTTGGTCGGTGATAAAATGAGAAGTTATCTGCTGCTCTTATCTAATAGTGAGTTCTTTTACTTCCTGTGTTGCTGCAGTTAATGTAGAAACCCTCTTTCCTCATGAACTTCATTTCCTTGAGGTTGTTTTTTTACTAAATTCACAGCATGCCCTCCGCACGCCCTGATGCGGGCAGCTTTCGGGTCACATCCTGCCCTGAAGCTACGCCTTGGAAAAGAGGTGGTGCAGGAGCTGCGGGCTGGGAATAATGCCTGCCGTGGTCCTGTGCTTGCAGTTGGCATCTGTCCAGCAGAAGGCAAAATACTTCAAAAAGGAGGAGGGTGGAGAGAAGAGGTGCCGTGAACGGAGGCTCCCCTGCAAAGGGGCAGAGCTGGGGCCGGGGCCAGCCTGCTCTGGGGGCATGCAGAGAGCATGGCTCTGGACCAGTGCCTCCAGCTGGTGGCCCCCCACGCCAGCCCTGAAAGGTCTCATGAGTGTGCACAGGGCTCCTCACAGTCCCGTGGGAACCTGGGTCTTGAGAAGAGAGGATTTGGCCAGAAGCACGCCTGTACCTCTGCATACGGGTACAGGAGGTGGGAGGAGAGGGAGAGCTTGGGCTGTGCTGGCTTCTGCTTGTACCAGCACCCTGCCCGTGCTGCCGTGCTGGCAGAATAACTGTGGGGTTTTCCTTCTCCACCCCAATAGTGATTGGAAAGTTGTACTTGAGTGTCTGGAGCATTGTGCACAAAACCCAGTGGGCATGAGGGGTTGCCAGCTAGGTAGGTGCTGGGTGAATGCCTGGGAGGCATCCAGGGACTCTCGTTTGGACAATTCCAAAGCAAACTGGAGCAAATGGCAGGGGCCTTCAGAAGGAGGGAGAGCTGCATCCCAAATGCTTTGCTTGCAACTGTATTTCTGTGCTGGCAAATACACCGGCATCAATGTAAATCATTGCCTGGAAATTCCTGTGCATATATTACCAGCCGGTGACATCTTTATTTGCTCCTTGTTTATCTGGGATCGCAATGCCAGAAAAAAATCCCCTATATGTTTCCTTCAGCTGCATAAACATTACTTGTCAGTGACCTCAGCTATTTGCCAGTGGGCTGTGTGTCCCCAGAGCTCCTCCAAAGCTTTTAGGGCCGTTGTGCTCCCCAGTAAGCGCTCGGTGCTTGGGCTGGTCCTGCAGAGCATGGTCTGCCTTGAACTTGAGCCTGGAGAGCACTCTGTGCCTGGCTGCAGAGCATCCCTGTCCTTGTCCCTTGCTGCCTCCTGGAAGGAACAGGGGCTGGAGATGTGCAAGGGGAGAGCTTTGCAACACTCAAATCACCTGTGCGTGCTGCAGGGTTGGACTGGTGTTGAGGCCAAGGCTGGACTTGATGCTCCTGCTAGGAGGGGATGGAAAGCAGCCGCTGTTGGCCTGGGGGAGGCTGTGACCTCGCAGAAATTATCCTCTTGGATTATTTGGGAAATCAGCTTCCAAACAACACATATTGATGGTGAATTATAGCCATGGGCCGGCGAGCTGCCCTGACAACCTCCACACTGTGTTTCTAGTGGATGCTATCCTAGGGGTTTCATTACTTCGGGAGGCTGTAGGGCTCAGTGTGAGTGTGGTTTCGCTCCCAGTCCCAGCGTGTTGCTCCAGGGCTCACTTGGAGCAACTTCTGGGGGTGTGCTGCACATGTAGCCCGGGGCCACGTGCTGCCTGAGCACTCTTTAATCCTGTCTTGGGTGCAGATCAAAAAGCCAGTGTGCCACCTGGCCAGTGCTGCTGGCTGCCTCACCTTTCCCACCAGGCTGTCTGGAAAGAGGGTGCAAAGCACCGGCTGGGTGCTGTGGCATGGGATGTGCTGTAATCACCATTCCAGCACTATTACAACGAGCTCTTCTTGCAGTTCTTTAGGAAATAGGCACTGAGACTGAGCATAAAATAATACGTTGCTTTAAGAGTTCACTACATAGCAGGCTCTAGAATTAATATGGAGGACTTAAATTTTGAGTTTCGAATGAACCATCCGGAAAATGAGGGTGTGAAGACCTCTCACCACCCCACCGGCTCTCTGGAAATCCTAAAAAGGCAGAATCTGTGGTGTTTTACTGTGTTGAGCAATAGCTCACCGTGACTGTGGCAGAACTACACCTACAAATTAGCACAGATCAACCAGAGTGAGAGTTGCAAAATCTGTCCCTGAACTTCCATGTTTGCAACCTGAAAATGCAGGTAATCGGTCTGCAGATCAGTTCAGGATCCTCCCGATGTAAAGGTGAAAGTACTCACATGATAATTAAATCACATCTAGGAGAAGTAAGGAGGAATTGATAACTCTCAACATAGAGAGCACGTGGTGAGAACATCCTGCAGCTACCCTTCTTCAGCACAACACAGCACAACGTCAAGTAGCTGGTTAATACAGAAAGAAACTTTACACTTCCTTAAATTCAAAGCCCAGTTCTTGATTTAAAGGAAAGAAGTGGTTGCAGAGCACTGTGATGTCCTGGTGTGCCACTGGTATTTCTGCTGGACACCTGTGGTTGCAGCAGAGCTGGTTCAGCTGGAGTAAGGCTGGTCATCGGTGCCTGAGGACTTGGTTCCAAGTGCCTGGTCCCACCAGCTTCAGCTAGTGCCGTAAACAGAAGGAAAAGCTGCAAAGCACACCCAGAAAAACTGTATTTTGTTGAAGCACAGAGGAATGGCATACATTTCAACCCTTTGAAGTCAGTAGGCTATTCGTAAATTCACTAAAAAAGCAGGTAAGTAATGACTTCCTTTCTTAAAGCCTGCCTCACACGTCCTCTCATTTCAGCCCTGTTGCAGTGGGTTGGATGGCTTGATGGATCTGCAGAACACCCCGCACGAGGATGCCAGCGGTGCACAGCTCCTCATCAGCCCTCTCTGTGCTGTGGACCACCAACTGGGAGAAGCTGACACCTCCTGGTAAGCAGCACCAGCATCCCTGGCCCAGCCCCAAGCACCGCTCCGTGCACTGCAATCAGATGCTGGGTCCCAAACCACCTTAGGGCCCATATGGGGCTGGGGGGTGCAGTGTCTGCCTTGGCTCCATTCCCTGCACGCAGCCTGCTTGGGGTGTTAGGAGACCTGACTGAGCATGGGGGATGTGCTGGGCTTCCCCGGGCAGGGAGGACAGGTGGTAACAATGGCAGGGTGAGCAGCTGGCCAAAAAGTCTGTGCTTAAACCAGCACCCAGCCCTACCTCCCTGCAGGGCAAATCCAGGCAAGCATAATGCAGGTGCTGACAGCCCCGTGGGGGTGACCACAACAGCCCTTGGGGGCTGGCGGCTGGGTGCCAACCTCCCTGTTGGCCTGGGCAGCAGCAAGCTTGCCTTTGTCCTGCAGATCCATCATGTTATGGACCTACTTACGATGTCTTGAAAGGTTTCTCAGGGTTACTGCACACAGTTAGCTCAGATAAGCTCCTAATTCTTCATCACTGAGCAGACATGCACCAGGTGGGGTGTGAAGTAACCACACTGGATCCACCGCTCCTTAACTCTGCATCGGGCTGGAGCATCTCTGCAGGAGGAGGCTCACAGAGCCCCTGCCTCTTGTCCCAGACTCTGGGGAGCAATGAGGAGTAGTATATCTTCGTGAGCACTACTTGGAAATGTTTTATTGAATTATTTTTCAGTTGAAGTGGTGTGTTGTGTTGTGTTTGTTTTTTTTTTTCTAACAAACTGAAAATTATTTTTTTAATCAAAAAACATTTCAAACAGAGTACTTTCCATGTTGAAATTTGTGGTTTTCATGAAAATATTACATCACTACTTTCAATTTGTGTTTACGGGATTTCCTGGTAAGTCGGGCAATGCTGAGAACGCTGCTAACCCTTCTGTGAATTCATGTCGTGGGGCAGTGCGGTGCAAGTAGCTCTGTCCTTTTGCTGTTTTCCCATCAATGATGTCAGGTGCCAACAGCACCATCCCTTAGTGGCACAGCACAGCACCTTTTCCTTTCCCGGGGAAGCCGTGTCCTCCCAGAAAGCAGCCCTGCGCAGTCAGGTGGTCTGGCTGCTGAAGGGGCACCTCTTGCACTGCCAGGAAATCTCTGAAGGATGGCCTCCAACTTCGTTGTCCCAAAGGAATGAATACTGGGGTTGCTCTCCTGGCTAGCCTGAAAAAGCACGGATGTGTGTGGAATAAAGCACAGCCCTGCAAGGAACCACTTCTTGCTGCGAGCCTGTACCGGGGAATGCTGCTCTCATCCAAGGAAATTCCTCCTGCTCATCCTTGACCTCCCAGGCTGCTGGCTGTGATCCAAGGAAGATCTCCTCCTCCAGCAGCGTGGCTGCAGTACGCCTGATGTGCAGGAAGAGACCTTGTGAAGAGTTACAGGTCCCCGCCAGGAGTTACAGGTCCACCCTGTCCCTGCCTGCTTCTGCCAGCTGTGCCCAGGAGAACCCACGGTGCTGCTCACTGTCACCTCAGCAGCTGGGTGGCTTGGAGCGTAGCCAGGGCTGGGCTTTTCTTCCAGAAATGTGCTGCTGCTATGGATATCCAAGACACAATTTAAAGGTGTTTCAGTTGCACTTAACCACTCTACGAAGTGTTTTTCAGCTAATGGCAGATTCTGTAGCAGTACCTTCGAGTTCCCCCTGTGATGTGGTGCAGCCTGAGGGTCTCCAGGATCCTTTTCCTTCTCAGCAGGAGAAGATTCCTCCTGTATTGCCATAATCAAGATGATTGGAAGGGGATGGGGGAGAAAAGTTGTTCATACACTCTGGTTCTGTTAGGCTCTAAAATATATGAATTCCTCTCTCCCTAAACAATAGGAAGTGACATTTTCTTCCTTAATTAAAACTTCCAAGGAGCCAAGGCACGAGCAGCATCCTGCTGGGACACTGATTGCAGAAATCGATCTAAGTGTTAATTGTCCGGACTCGAACCCTCTCCTGTGTGAAGACAACAAAGAGAACGAGAGCTGCACTTGGATGTTTGCTATTTTTACATACATGGCACGGGAGGGAGGGCTACGGCTTCCCTCTGCTGTGTGCTGCCACGCAGCATGGTGTGCAGGTAGGGGATGGAGAAGAAAACTGAGCTGATGGCATTGATGCTACAGCGTTCTTCAGCCTGGCCTGAAGGGAGATTTTACCTCCTTGTGTTGCAACCCAGTGACACAGGATTTTCCAAGAAAAAACTGACTCCACCTTTTTATTATGACTTTTTATTTTGTTTCCAGCTGGGGCTGTGTGTGGACTTGCATTTGTTACCGTGTCTGCAAGTGCAATCTGAGACAATTGAACCTTCCTAAATTGTTGCTGAGTCTATATGCTGTGTGCCAGCAACAATTATAAATCCTGTTGCTGTTGTTGCCTGGGGTCTGCCATTTCTCTCCCAGTTAAATGTGTCATATTTTTGTTGAATGCCAACAGCACAACACTGAGAAGAGATAAATACACCATGGGCACAATGAATCACGAGCTCTGGTAGCCTCGCCCTAGTCCCAAGAGACTGTCTGGAGCTGGCCAAAGGAGAAAACACCATGGCCTGTTTTTCTTTTACTTCCCTTTTGCTTGGAGAGTGCACCCGTGGGAATGCAGGAAGCAGGAGGCATCGTGCCCATGCAAGAATCCCGGATGCCAAGAGGAGCAGGAGCGCCCAGCAGGGAGGAGGCTGGCACCACACTGCATTGCCAGGGGGCGCAGGATGCTCCTGCTGCCCAGGGCAGGCTGCCCAGCTTCTGACCAGGGTGATGGAAAGAGCCGTGGCCAGCACAGTGAGTGCCAGGGGGACACCACGAGTCGGTGACAGCAGCCTCCCATGAAGGCAGCTCGTGAGTCGGAGACTATGGGCAGAAGTGTGCCCGTGTGGTGCTGTGCAACCCCTGTGCTCTGCTCAGGGCAGGCTGGGCTTCAGAACAGCCATCTGCAGCCAGGCTGGGGCAATAAAAATTTAACCTCTGGCTGGGGAGGAACTGGAGGTAAGCAGCAAGAAGGACGGCAGAGTTTGGCAACACGACCCGTGGGGACAGGCTGAACGAACTGGTGTTGTTCTACCCAGAACAAGACAAGGGAGATGAGTTAACCTCTAAATATATAACAGCCTACTGCAGAGTATGTCAATAAACTGTTCTCTGTGCCCACTGGGGACAAGGGAAAAATTACAACAGCAGGGATTTTGAAAAGACGGTGAGAGAAAGCTTCCAACTGCAGGATAATTAAACCCTGGCAGAGATACAGCTTGCGACATCTCCATCAGTGGATGTTTTTAAGATCAGGTTAGACAAACCTTTGTCAAGAATGATGCTTTGGGGCAAGGAGGATGGACAGTGTGGATTCGGGGGACCTTCTGAACTCTCATTCCAATTGTTTCCAGCTGGTTTCACTGCACTGACGTCAGACGCTTCAGGAGTTTTTTGCTGTAGCACAGAGCAAGGCCATTCCTGCAGGTTCCTGTGTGCTTCAAGGAAAGCCAGGCTGAGCAACAGAGACAGGGGCAACTTTTTGTCATGAAGCTATTAAAGCTTTAATCAAAGAGCTGAGGAACTGAAGCTAGGACTGAATATATTTATTTTTTTCACATAAACACCACTCAAAGCCACCCTTACATGCCTCTCAGTAAAGGAGTCCTGTTCTTCCCAAACTTCTAGCGTTAGCAGGCATGGAGCACAAACGCTCCTCGCTGGAGAGCTGACTGCTTGTCTGCAATGTTTCTAGCAAGAGCTGCTACGCTGTGCTCTTCCTCCTCTGACCAGACAGCTGTACCTTGGTGTGTGCACGTAGCCAGGGGGCAAAGCTGTGCCAGCCACCACCCTGAGGCCTGTTCCTTTCCGTGCAGCCACCCAGGGGCCTGGCAGCCGAGCCTGGAGGAGGATCCGTAACGCCAGGATGTGCTTCTTTGTGTGCAGCAGCAGCTACTGGTGCTGGCAGTGGGATGAGAGCCTCTGAACTGGCTGGGATGGGACACGTGCTGGGACAAAAGCCTTCTTTTTGTGATGTTCCTCTTTCAGGCTGCGCGGCCTTTTAGAGTGGCAGAAAAAGAGGAGAGCCTGTGACTGCAAAGCTCACCCTGCAACCGCTTGTTCTTCTGCAGTGTAGGGAAAAGCATCTCAGACAAAGAAGCTGGAGACAGCGTTGCTCCCTGGAAAGAAGCACGGCCAGAAGGCAGGAGTCAAGAGTGAGATGAGGCAGCATGCTCGGTGTGTCCCTCTGGAATTTGGCTGCTCTCCCTTGCTCCCCCTGTGGTCCCTGCTGCCTGCCCCAGGGCACGGCAAGGCAGGTGGGTGAGGTTCACCCCGCGGGGCCACGGGAAGGATTTGCTGCTTTCGTTTATCTTCACATTTTGTAACTGCTTCCAAAGCCAGGGAAGGTTTCCCTCCTTGATGGGTGGTCCCTTCACTGGCAGCATCAGGGTTTGAAGCCTCAGTGCAGCAAGAGGGGAAGGATGAGTGGTGCCATGAGGAGAGGAAGTGCTTGCTGTACCAGCTGGGGGATTTGAGCAGTTATGCTCCCTCCTGCAAGCTGTGGGGGGATCCGAGGTGCAGCTGAGGAGCCGTGAGAGGGACTGCACAGCGGGAGACGTGGGGGCAAGCAGGTGCGTTACCCACCTGGGCCTCCAGGGGAGGATCTGGCTGCTGCTGGGGGACGGTGGCTATGTTCCGCGATCTGACTGCAAAAGGACCAGCAAGATGCTCAGTGAAGGATCTTACCCCCAGGCCAAGACCTTTCAGAGCAACCATCCGCATAAACCAACATGATTAGTGGTAAGTGTGGGCTGGCCAGCTGCCTTTCTTGCTTGTGATCCTGCTCAAAGGAGCCTCGCAAGCTCAGCTTAGCTTCAGTGTGTAGATTTAACCACCTTGTAAGTGCTGGGAAGCGTCCGAAACCATTTTGCCCATGCAGCCAAGCGCCTCTGTCCTGTGATACCTGTTATAAATGAAGTCTCAACTCAATCTGAATTTAGTAATACATGTATTTATACTTATAAAAGGTATAGAAGGCAAGTAAACAGTCCTGGGTGTGTGGGGAGTCTACGCTCCACCAACACGTGCACACGAACATCAAACATTCTAAATATACAGAACATGGCTTTACATATTAAACCCGAGTATGCCTATACAATCAGAAAAGCTAACAAACAATTCTTTAAGTTCCATGACTTAACAGTCTCCATTTACCATTCCCTTTGAACAATATGTCTCGCTTTAAGTTGTCAAGCAACTCGGTCTTCAGGCCTTATGTATCCCGTTCTTCCCGCATCAAAGAAAAGCATATCCAGCTCCTTGTGAAGGCCAAGAGGCCTGGGTCCAAAGGCACGTCCAGGTCACCAGGGGTCGGAACAGCAAAGGCCTTCGATGGCTGTAGCAGCAGAGGGGCCGATGGCATAGCAGTCGGATCAGTAAAGGAGCCTGCAGCTCCCTCACTGCCTGGCAAACCACACGGGCCTGACTGTGGTCCCACACGGCTCGCCAGGTGCCGAGCAATCCCACTGCAACCTTGTCCTTTTTGGTTGCAGAGTCCCACACCTTGACCTCAGTTTGGTCCCATATTTCAGGCTCATAAACTGTCCGACTGTTAATAAGGAGAATAAGCCGTAAGGTTACCAGGATAATCTTTGTTTCTAAGGACATATGATTCCCCATAACGCGCAGCTGCTGACCAGCGAGGGGCAGCTGTGTGTGAGGCTCCGCTTCTCTCAGCTCCAGCTTCTCTGCAGCTCCGGTGCGCCTGTTTCCAGTGACTTTCAGTACGAGCTTCTCTGAGCCATTTGCTGAGTTTGGCCGAACCCATCTTCATGAGGCGATCAATGTGCCTGTTCCCATCCTGGTCTCCATTCTGCCAGCCTGCTCCTCTTCACTTCTTTTTCCTGCTTCTTTATTGATGTAACTTCATAGTGTTGCCTTCCTGAAGGCAGGCCCCCATCTTATACCCTTCGCCCCACAGCAGTTCTTTTCAAAAGAACTTTTCATTGGGCAAACAACTTTGAGTGTAACACCAACAGCAAACACCCAGAAACATCCATGCCTTAGCGGCTGGAGAACAAGAAACCTGAGACTGCATGGAGTCTCCTGAGTCACCCCTCTTTGTTCCCTCTAAACTCTTTTATACTCCTGATGGCCTCATCCTTAAGAGTCTGATGTTATCTCAACCACGAGGCTTTCCAACCCCCATGGCCACACTCCCACATCTCCCCCTTCTTTATTAATATCAGCCATGCTCTCGACAGGCATTACCACTCCATATAGAACACCCCAAAGCTGCGGGGCTTGTGCTCCAAAGAGGAGCGTTGTGGGGCCGTGGGGCCGTGCAGCCGGGACCCTGCCTGCATCCCCCCCAGGAGGGCCACGGAGCCCGCGGAGCATCCCCGGAGCGGGACGGGCACGGAGCGGGGGGGCCCCGGGGGTCCCGGCAGCACCGCCCGGCCCCGGCCGCGGCGGCAACAAAGGCGGGCGGCGGCGGCGCAGGTGGGAAGGGAGAAGGGGAGGAGAGGAGAGGAAGGAGGGGCTCGGCTCGGCTCGGCCCGGGCCGGCCGCCCCCTTCCCCGGGTGCCGCCGAGGAGTGCCGCCCCCGCGGCGGTGCTGCCGGAGCGCCCGGAGGCCGGCGGAGGAGCCCCCCCGGTGTCCCCCCGGCGGCGGGGCGCAGCCCGTGAGTACGGCCGGGGGCTGGGGGCTGCGGAGCGTGGCAGGAGAGGGGCTGTGGGGGCTGCTGCCCTGGCGGTGTGCGAGCAATGAGCCCCGCGGGGATGGTGCCGGGAGGGCGGCGGGGCGCGGGCTGTGCGGGTCCCGCTGCCGGCAGGGAGCGCGGCTGGCGGGGCGCTGCCTCGGGCTCTCGCCGGCCTAGCGGGAGCCAAACCCCCCTGCAGGGCTCACGGGGGGTTCCCGCTGCCGAGCTGGGGTTACCGCTGCCGAGCTGTGCTGCCTCAACGCCGGGGAGCACCGCGATGCGCTCCCGCATCGGTCTCCGCACAGGGGAGGACAGCGGCCGCCCGGGGTGCTGGTGTGAAGGGCGCAGCCCTGGGGCTTGCTGCAGGAGCTGCTGGCTGTACCAGCGTGGATCTGTGTCTCACAGAGCCGGCCTCCTCGCCTGCTGCCCGGGGAAGGGCAGGTTGGGAGTGTGCAGCCCTCCTGCCCTTCTGCCTGGGTCACGGCATCAGCGAAGGTTTCAGCAAAGCTCGGGGTGATGGTGGGGCTCGTGTAGAGGTGAGCAATGCTGGACGTGCCCTTGGAAGAAGAGTATTCCTGGCAAAAACCTTCCCCAGAAGGCCCCTGGGACTCGGGCCAGGAGTGCTGCATGAGGCCAACTTTTCCCCTTCATTTCTGCAAGGGCTGCAGGAGCTCGTGGGGACCCGGCGCTCCCCTCCTGCGGGCAGCGCGGCTCCTCTCCGCCGTGTTGGAGGCACCGCGGGCACGGGGTCCAGCAGGACAGAGCGTGTGTCACCGCCTGGCTCGGCTCCTGGGGCTGTTTGCTGCTGCCGGAGGTGGCCGTGGTGCGGGGGGCAGTGAGCAGGGCTGCGTGTGCTTGGGAGAGCCAGGGGGCCTGGGTGCCAGGCACGGGATGGCACCACGGCCTGCAGCTGCCCCACGCTGTGCTCTCGCTCCTTTTTGGGCATTTTGTGGATGCTTCCTCTATGTGCCATGGCCTTGTTTGCGGTAAGCAGTGGCGGCGGTTCAGGCTCTGCGGGCGTGCTGTGCTGTGCTGTGCCTGCAAAAGCGGTGGCTGGGCTGAAAAGCCTGCTTCAGAGAGCTGGGCAGTGAACCACCAGCTGGGACCAGCAGCATGCCTGCCTTGCTGACAGCAAGCATAAGGTTATGTGCGGTGATTCAGAAAGCGAGAGGAATACAGGAGTGTCTCCTCCACCTTATCCTGTGCAAGCAAGCATGTGTTTGCGAGGCTTTGATAACAGGGCTGCTTGCCCGGCTAACTGCTGTTTGTTTGGAAGTAGCTGATACTTGGTTGAAACCAAGCTGTGGATGTGGAGGTGCATCGTCATTGGCCAAGACCTAATTTTTCTGGGACAAAGCAGGCAAGTACTTGAATCATAATTTGTAACGGTTGCTGACAGAGTTCCCTCTTGCAGGAGCTGGAAACGCATGGGAGGAAATTAAAAGTCCCACAATGAGATGGCCGAGGGTGCTTTAATTAATGGCAAAGTGGATGCAGCCAGTGATGTTTCATATCTTTAAGTCTGTCCCTGTGGCTGTGGTTCAAGAGGAACTTGATTGCAGAAACGGGATTACTGCGTGCTCAGAGGCTTATTTCCATGTCTGTGAGAGAGGATAGGTGGCCTGCTGAAGGGCAGAGCTTTGCCAAAGGCAGTGCACAGGTGACAGCGCCCTTGCAGGCAGCGAGCACGCGGCTGGTAGTGAAGCACAGGTCTCTCCTGGCTTCCAGGCTGGAGGGAGCGGAGGATGATAATTGGTGCTAGCCAAAATCCACCTCGGGTTGTCCTACCAGGGGCTCCAAGGCTGGCCCGGCTGGCTGGCACTGAGGAAGATGTTTGAACTCAAGGTCTGTCACCTCCCTCTGCTTCTCCTGACCCATTTGAGCCATTGCACCAGCAGCTTTTGGAGGGGCAGGAATGGTGCAGTAGGGCCGCAGTCCTCCGTCATGTTCATGGGAAGGTCAAAGCAGCCCTTGCAGCCCTAGGGCAAAACGTCATTTTCCTGTTCTCAACTCAGCATTTATAAAGATGGCAATAAAAGATCTGACAGTATTATTTTGATGATGTTTTATGAAATGTACTGGCCTTTACTGTAGCCCTTGTCTTTGCTGGAGTAATGTAAAACCCAATTCTGTAAAGGATTTAGCAATCAAAGAGCATTATGAATCAGTCTGATACTTCATCCCAACCACAGCCCTTCTTAGGTTGCTGACCTACATACAGCTTTTGGCATAACTGCTTCAGGGAGGCCGGGCTCCATCTCTGAACGTGAGGGGGACCGCGTGCTGCCGAGCTGCGAGATGTCTGTGTGTGCTGGGAACGTTTTCACCGAGGTTACGAGCAGGTCTGCTGAAATTCCTTATCGCTTCAGCCGTGCTTGAAGCTGGTGCTGCTTGGCTGGGAACTTGTCTGTGACGTGCGAGCCGTGGTAGTTCCTCGGAAAGCTCTTTCAGTTGTAACTGTGCTGATTAAAAAACTCGAATATGAAAGGAGGTGTTTTTGCTGTAAAGAGCTCCTAGATATCTGGCCAGCAAAACTCCTTGTTGTCAGATGCTTTAATTACTTGTGTAATTAAAAAACTTGGGAAAACTTCCATACTTCACGCATCTGCTTATAAATAAAACCCAGGCTTGTTGCCTTTTTTAAAACATGCCTGGCAGTTCAACCCCCAGTGAGATGCGAACCCAAAGTGTCCTTCCTGAAACCACCCCGGAGGCTGGCTGTGCCCATGCACATCTCATCGCTGCCGTGATGCGGGCAGTAAGGAGGTGAGCAGGTCCGAGGAGGGGCTGGAGGTGGGTCTGTGAAGCAGCAGCTCCACGGGGAGCTCAGTCGCTCCCTGCTGGCTTGCCCATCAGCCAAAGGACGCCAGTGCAGTTCTCACTGAGGTGGTGGCAGTGAAAACAGACAAAGCTGATGTGAGCTTGCTTTCTGCTACAGCTTGGGAAGGTGAGGAGCAGGATGACACGCTGTAGCTGATGGCACACAGAGCAAAGACAGTCTTTGGGGTCAGTGTTCAGCTTTGCAACGGAGCAGGGCTGCCCCTGGCTCCGAGCAGTGTGGGGTCTGGTAGTGTTGGCTCCCTCCCTGGGTAAGGGAAAACACTGGTGTAAACTTTTTCTTCTTTCCTTTTTTTTTTTGTGTACCCTGTTGTGGACATCTCTGGTTGTGTGGGCACATCTGTTTGTGTTTGTTAAACATCACGTTGAGCAATGGTGCTGCGCTGGTTAGTGCTTTAAGGCAGCACTTAAGCCTGTTCGTATCTATCATGATTTCAGCTCTGCAAGACAGAGCCTG